TCAAAGGAGCAACAGAGTCTAATTTTATTCGCAGCGCATCTGTAGCACTATCAACAACATGATCAATTTGGGGTAGTGTACATTTTGTATAAGTTTCCTCCCTTACATGCAGACATGCTATCGAGTTAAGTATTGGTAGAATCTCTTCCTTAAATTTGGCTATAGCACTAACAGATAGGTTTCTGCTGCAGGAGCTTTTGACTAATGCTTTGTAGTCTCGTAACAGTACTTCAAAAGTTACTAAGAAATGGTCGGATAAAGCAGGATTATGCGGTTCGACTAATAGTTGCTCAATTTCAATACCATAAGTCAGAACAAGGTCGAGAGTGTGATTATAGCAGTGGGTTGGTTTATTTACACTCTGACAAAAACCAACAGAATCTAATATAGAGTTAAATGCAACAGTAAGGCTATTTTTATCATCGTCAACATGAATATTAAAGTCACCTACGATAATTACTTTATCTGTTTTAAGAACCAAAGTTGATAAAAACTCAGAGAATTCAGATAAGTATTAACTATAATAGGTGAATAAATAGTGCATTTTTAACAACATGTTAATACTAATTACTTTATTCTTAATCAGTGTTGGTTCTTCACTTGTGTCTCTTCATAAATAAATGTATTAATTACAGAACAGAACAATGTCTCTGCTGGTGGAGCTGCAGTTGTACAGACAAAGTTACTCACAGGAGTATTGCTGAGCTTGAGGCATGAAAAACAATACAGCATTTACAGCAAAACATTATGGTTTAATACATTTCCCTAAACAGTGAGAACTTGGCACAGGAAAAATGCTTTAAGGGACAGGAACTTTTATAAAAGTGTGCACAAATTCAAGTACTAAAAGAAAGGGTTAGACATTACTTTTACTTACTAAAATAACTGTGTTATAAGGAAGGAAACAAGACTCTGAAGTCCCCTCGACCATACAGAGCAGTTTGACAGGTTTCAAGTCATTGCTTTGGTTTTAAGGCTAAAGGCTTTACTGTTTTCATTCTCTCTCTAGTCTCACTGCTATCATCATAGTCACTTCCAGTAACAACAGGCAACCGTTTACAGTAAAAAGCTCTAAAACCCCCACATGCGCTCTATTGCCTAAATTGCGCCCATACAAAAGTGAGTTACAAGCAGGTGAACATAGAGCAGAATTTAGCTGTTATAGAGACAGATGTTTCCCTCAGGAGATAGTGGGGGTCAAACAGAGGTTGAAGGGAAATAAATATTGGATTTTCAATTATCAGGTGGACAGAAGCAGAAGTAAAAATGAAGGATAATGTTGCTCTGTGAAGGCTGTTTGTGTACGCTGGTCACAAACAATCTTTCTATTTCAACTGAATCAAGTTATATGTCAGTGTTCTGCTGTCAGAATGCTTTAAGTACAAACTTGCACTTTCCATTTTTTACTTTCACAACTATTGATCCTCCCTACTGTATGTTTTACTCCACAACATAACAGCCATTATCTTTTCGGTTTCGCACTTTCACATGTAAAAGCGTGTGTCCTATTTATAAGATAAAATGAAAAACTATAGTTTCCAACTACCTTACAGGATATCAATAATTGAATATAAGCTTCACATAAACCAGCTATAACATGCTGCTCAAAGGTTGTAATTATCCTTCGCCTATGCTTTATACTGCATATAAGTATGAGTATTTATTGTTGATACTTTAAGTAGTAAGCAACGATTTGACTGTTTTAGTGATTAAGTATATTAAAACGGTGCACAGAGTTAATGAATGGCATCGGGGTTCCATGTACCAAAATGCCCCCAAATATAATTAAAAAAGGGCCAACCTAATATTGTTTTGTTTACTGCTCCTGCTGAGTTGCCTTGAGAAAACACACCAAACAACTCTTTGCATACTAAAAAGGCCTCTAAACTACACCAAGTATGTGTGGAATAATAAAATCAATTAGGTTTACCCCAAGTGTTTTCTATACTGAGTTGCACACAACAGTCAGCAAATAGATGGAAGTGAACAAAAGCAGCACAGTGGCAAAGGAAGGCAGAGAGTTTAACAGATGCTCTCCGATCTTGATAGGGACTCTTAAGACAGACACCCACAATGAGAGTGAATTAATCATTGTCTGGGGAAATGGGAGACATTGTCCAATTTACAGGAGATGTATAGGTAGGAAATCAAATGCCACAGCATATCAATTAGCTGAGGTTACACCTCTGCAATCCAATGCATGGAGACAAAGGCTCCTGAAAAGGGAATGAAAGGGGTGGAGATGTCACAATTTACTGTAATATAGGACAATATTATTCTATTAGCTATAAATCACTTTAGCTTATTTGTGATTCCTTATGATGGGAATTGAAAGGCAATTTTAATGTGTGCCTTTTTATCAATCGGTTGTGGAGACAGGGGAGATGTACCTCTTTAGGTAGGACTAAGCAACCATTTTTCGTCCAACAGCTTGTTGAAGTCATGTGCCCACTACTCAACTCCCCATGGTAAAATACAAGAGTGCCTATTTCTCCTGCAAAACTCTATCATCTGGCAGGGAAAGCCTCTAAATCTTGTTATATGCTCAGAGAGGATAGAGTGGCACAGCATTTATGAACCCTGCATTAAAGCCTCGGGGATGTTATAAGAATTATTACTGCTTTTTTAGACGCCAGAAAAAACAATCATGACAACAAAACTGGTTTTAATTGTCCCAGGCTTTGCGTTGTCTGAAAGAAGGCGGCAGATACAGAGGTGGCAATCTGGAAGTTTGCCCTTTACCTCAACCTCAAATATGACCTCTTTCCAGAAGAAAAAAGACTACTTATTTTAGATACATTTTGACAGAGTAAAAAGCCTCATGAATGAAATAACCTCAACAATTTTTTTTAAAAGTGGGTTGAAGTCATAGGAGATGCATGTGCCTAACTATTTCTGTCCTGAATTATCTGCTTCTCAAAGTCATTGTGCCTGCCGCTTGGATAAAAAAAGCGTGGCGAACGTGCTTAGGCTGAGCCCTCAGTCACAGGCCCTATGAGGGTTTCTTTGAATGTCTTTCTCTCTATGATTTCACTATCTCATATTCTAACAATGGAAAACGGACTTCCCGGGAGAGAGAGACGAAAATGCTTAATATGTGATCAACAGTCCACAGAGAAGCTATATAAAGAAATGGGCTACAAACAGAATATAAAAAATAAGATGTTGTTTAAATTGTATTATTGTCACAATATAATGCTGTTTTAAGTTTAGGTTTATCAGGACACTGGTATGCAGTGTTATTGATTTATAGCTTGGCAATGCTGCCCTTCAGTGGCAGATGACTAGAACAACTTTTTTTCTGCAGTGTGAGTAGAATATATCACTGATAGGCATTGGCAGCAAGAGCAGAATCAACCCCAAGAAATATATCAATACATTCTCACATTATTATAGCAATCAACTACGTGCTGGCAGCATTTCAGAGTGATGAAATACTTATTCTGATGTTTAAAAGTCATTCTTCTCCATTATTTCCTTCCACAACATCAAGTGAAAAGCAGCGATTAATCAGTGTCTGTCAGCGTAAGCTCGTATCATTAAAGAGTATACCTCTCTGTAGGTCAAGTGCACTCAAATGTCAGGTTTTGTCCCAAAGAAATAAAGACAGATGTTTTGTGGCACTTGCCTGAAAACTAATCTAAGCTGGTGATACATCAAGCACCCAAGTTTCGTGCCCTGGTTTCATCATCTCAAGGCTCAAGGACAGACTGATCCATAGGCTGCCCCTGGTTCCTTGCTTCAGAGATCAAAGTGTCGACATCAGAAAATAACAAAATTAAGGGCGGCTTTGGATGTTCAAAATGTAGAAACCGCAGTGCCACATTCAATCTTCTTAAAGCATTGTCCTCAGCTGGCTTTTTCGTAACATAAATGTCAAAGTAATCCTCGAGTCCAGCTGAGTGACATGTGTTTAGAGTATGTGATGGTGTTGTACACAGAGTGGTGCTGACCTCACTGTGACTCTCTCCCAGGCCCGCTATCATACCGCTCAGCCTGACGGGGTCCAGATGCAAATAAATGTAATTGTATAATGTGTAGTCTGTTTAGTAATGTACCTTGCTATGCTTTGCCACTCTTTGATGATAAGATTAAACCATCAACCGTTGGTTCTTTTTCAACACTGGGAAGTATCTACCAGGGTTCTGAATCAATTGTTCACTCTAGACCACCACTCCATGTGCCACCCACATAACAAAACAAAGGTCCAAACAAAACACACCAATGGAAAATAGCATGTCCAAAGCCTATAACACATGAGTAAACACTCAGTGAATATGTTAGCCAGCCTCAAAGTGCCGCATAATAATCACACAAACACAAATAAAAAGGGGGATACAAAAGGGGGGATACTCTCACACCATCATCTCACAAAAGCTGCAGCTGCGCACTTTGTCCATTAGGTGTCGCTCAATTACTGCACCTGGTGCCTCCAGCCCCCAACCTCTGGCCCGGACTGTCTGGGTTCGTAATTGTCATCGACCAATCACACAAGAGGTAGGCGGGTCTCCATTGTTACTACAGATACTCAGAGAAGTTTGCACCGACCTGTTGCTGCACCTATGAGTCTCCACGTTAATGAATAGCCGCGGCCCGCGCGAGACTAACTAGCCGATTATGCCGAGATAAAGTGCCTCTGACTCGCGCTCTGTCCGATAATGGCATGCGATGGCTCATCCGCGGAGGATTTCCCGGACAAAGTGATGCACATAACAGCTCCCTGCACGTGCAACAAGAAGTGCAGGAGTCGGAGCAGCAGTGTTGTCTTCCTGGGATTATTCCTACTGTCGCTGTCTCTGCACGCTGTCACCCTGGTCTGCTATTTGGACCTGCGCTCCGAAGTCAAAAGGGAAATTATCCACCAGAAGCGGGATTCAATAATGACACTTGCCGGGAGTGACATGGCTGAGCCGGCGGCGCTGCTCTCACCCGGCCACCTGGACTCCGTCAGCAGCCGCGGCGCAGAGGGTCCACAGGTAAAACATATATTTTCAAAGAGTGTAACAAAGATTAAAAAGGCCGCTAATGGAAGGTGACATTGTTTTCATTCCTCACACTGAGGCTGTTCGTGTTCATTCACCTCTGCTCAGTCCTCCTGTTCCCGTATCAAGGTGTCAGGTTCTGTGCTCTGTCATGGCATGTTCCTGGGCAACTTATTTTACAGTAGCCTGTCACGAAGTTTTGCCAGTCTCAGTTTCCAGACAAATATGTTTTGAGTCACTGCTCCCGTGTGCATGATTTCTTGGACAGAGAGGTATAAACGTTAAAGTATGTCACCTGGCCAAAGTCTCATGTTCAGGTAAACGCTTCCAGGGAGGCATATCAATGAAGGTTTCAAATGTTGCCAAAAAACAAGAAACTGCAGAATGAAAACTCATCAGTTAACTCGGTTTTTTCCGAAATGAATTTTGCTGTAATCAAACTGCATTTAACTTGATTTGTCTTGTTTCCAGAGCTCCCTCTGAGCAGACAGAGGTAGATGCTTAGGCAGCCTGCCCAGCTGAATTCACAGAGAGGGGTCAGGCAATGTGCTGCAGCAGGTGGACGGAAAATGAACTGGATCACCAGCAGGTGCAAAGCCCAAGGGCTGATGTAAATTCATCAGGACTTAGATGGGGCAGTTGGTACTTGGAGCTAAGCCAGCCTCGTCTCACATGTGTTTTCTTTTCTGGCAGCGGCCTGATTGAATGTTCATTGTGTTGTCTGTGGCTTTGGCAACAGACCACCAGCCCCCACCAGCCCCCACCACCACACAATCCCTAATTTCATCAGTACAAAGGGACCAAGCGTAGGTCTCAACTCTGTATTACTTGTTCAATTAGCTCACATGTCATCGGTTGTGTAACCTCTTTGCAGAGAAAATGATCCGCTGTGTGGGGTATTGGCTGGACATTCAGCTAAGCAGAGAAATCTACTTGATAGTCACTCAGAGGATGGAGGCATTCATGTCTCTGTAGGAAACATTAAAAAGATAAATTGCTGCAAATGGTCTTTATAACATTTTCCTCTCACAAGTGGGGAGCTTAGCCTATTCATGTAGTTGTCAGTGTGTCCTTTGCTAAGCTTATTTTAGTTTGGTTTCTCTGGTTAGAGCCGAGTGAGATGGGCCTGGTATTCAACCCAGATGGGGACGCTTCATGAGGTGAAAGACTGAGGCCCAGCTGTAAATATTTAACAGCGCTGTGATGCTGTCCTTGCCAGATGTCTGCATTAAACAACTCTGATTACACATCCCACAGTTTACATAGTTGGAGAAACAGGAGCATGTGGCATTTGGACGCAGCGGCCACACTTGTTAGCTTTTGAGGCATTTCCTTTGAAGAATCTGCACTGTAGAGCTAAAGATTGTTTATTGGATTTTTCACACAAGTCTTCATCAAAGGCAGCATCAGTGTGATTGGATGTGATGTGCAGGTATACAGACAAGTGTAACAGAACATGGAAAGACTGTATATATAAAGGCACAAACGTACACCCCACAGAAAGACATACATAAAATAAACATACCAGTGTTTTAATGTAACCTCAGATGGACTTGATCCTCTCTGTATTTTGAAAAAGAAAAGTGTCTCGCTTCAAGGAATAACAGTAGTGAATATCGGATAGTCTGGTCAGTCCTTTTTTAAGAAGCTTTTTAAGTAAAGCACAATAGAAACAAAACTTTTGTTTAGATTATTGGTTCATGGAGGATTGACTTTCCTTTAACTGGAAAACAAAATCTAAAATGACATTGACATGAGTTCTATAACAGAAATATCTTTAAGTGGCTTTGAAACAAGCACAGGTGTTTTCTTTGTAGTTGGCTTAAATAAATTAAAACCCCTGTCCTCTTTTACTCCAGAACTAAATTAAGCTTAACTTTTAGTTATACAACATTTATATTTTGTTCCTATTTTAAGGTTGGTCAAATCTTAAATTCATTTTATCCCATTTTTGTCTTCTTCTATTCATTCATTTGTTTTCAGGAGGAAAATGATATCAAGTATCAAGGCATTTTTCGACTGAAAGCGTATCTCCAGAACAGATCTGAACAAAAGTGATCGTGGCTATTAATGTAAGATAAGGATCTAGGCTGTACACAAAGTGTCTGATCGGTGTTGTGTTTTGTGAACAGAGGAGGGACTGCTGCTACTTTAGTTTGCAAATATGGCAAATCAAACTTGCACATTTGTAACAATATATTTATATTTGAGTCTATCAGGATGTCCAAACTTTTTTTAAAGTGCAGTTTCTTCAGATGTAGATTCAGAATTTGGTAGCAAATTATTGAAATGTTTATAGAAACCTTGTTTATAGAAACCTTCTTTTTCTTTTTTAAATGGTAGGAGAAATGTACCTGTTTCCAGCTTGCACTTAAAAATAACAAACTCCTAAACAGCTCACACTGTGTCAGATCTAACTAGTTGCTTCTTAATGAACGCAGATGATGTGGTCATTTATGATCCGGGCCTGGGGAGTGAAGAAACAATCTTTCCCTCAACATTCACAGTCGGTATGCCGTAAATCCCAGCTGTCCAGCAGATCTGTGCAGTTCCCAACAGTAAAAGCCCCTCCCAGGTGTGTGTAGCTCTTAGGAGTGTGATGCAGGCCATTACTGAATTAGAGCAAGTGTCACTCACAGCCTGACCCTTAATCACCTCAGTGAGTGACACATCGTAAAAGTCAACCCATGGAATATTTAATTGTGTTAGCTCAGATAGCGTTTTATTCTTCAGCCTAACATTTTTCTTATAACCATTATATGAAATAATTTTCTCCTCTGATGTATGCCTTCAAAGTCTCACAGAGAACAGATGCTAAAACATCTGGAGTCTAGTTAACGGCTATTAAAAAAAGTCAGTTTGATGGGACACAAAGTCCTCAGCAGCATACAAACTGTGGGGCGCCGGGGTGGGCTGTCACCCACATCTACTTTAATTGTGACCAGTGCATGATTAGTTAAAACAGCAGTATGATATGAGCAGAATGAAGCAAGCCTCCATGTAAGGAATTAATCAGTATGGACACAAGTGTCATAAAAGCACAATGCAGAGGAGGTCGAAACATCAGAGATATGAGGCTGCAAACTTTTCCATATAAGACTGAATTGTCTTGACAGACAGATGGTGTAGACGCCCAGTAAAGTCCAGAGTCACAAACATCCACCAAAATAATAAATTCTCCAAGCATTCACACCATTCAGCTAGAAGTTGCTTTGCCTGCAGTGTTGCAACAATATGAAATGTGATTGGCTGCTGACAGACAACATTTCCCTTAGGTTGAGCTCCACAGTTTTTTTTAGATGACAATCTATGGATGCTGTTATTAAATTACCCAAGTTATGGTTTAAAACGCATGGCCTTCCAGAGAGCAGTGTCTGATATTGGCTGAGCTGAGGACACTCTATTTAAATGATATTTAAGAAGTGAACACGCTGTTACAGTGACAATTCTAAGCAGTATGCATGCCATTACACTAAGTAATGCTTGTACAGAAGTAATGGGCACCGAGTCTGCATTTGGCACTCGCAGCCACAAGCCCCGAGTTTCACCTCTTCTACTTTTTAACTTTAACCGCAATTACATGAATAAATTTAGTCTGAGACTGTTTCAGCAACCAGAATGTCTGGGAAACAGTATTGGTCCAAAAAACACTGAACCCCTTGCCTCTTATTTTCCTAAACAGCCTGAAAAGTTATGAATGTAAGGGATCTGCTGTGGTCTACGTTCAGGAATGTGTAGAGATACAAGCTATTGTAATAGTGTTAAAAACGTGTTAATAGGGCAAAAGAAGTCTTGTGATGACTAAATTACACATCCCTGGAGTGACTGATTTTTAGTCATATCCTCACGAAACAACAGGGAATCTCGTCCTCTGCGCGCAACAGCACCCCCCACGCTTTGAAGATTTGAAAGCCCTCTAATTAATAGCATTTTTTCCCTTGTGCTGAAAAAGAATGGTTTACTCAATAGTTGGCACTTGGCATACATACCAACACGTTGTCATCCTGATTTACTGTAACTCTGCATGCCTTTGAAGGGTAAGAAGGTTGTAAATGTTGTAATGAAGTGAAATGAAGCAAACAACGGCGCATAACCCCTTCTTTTTTTTTTATCACAGTTGCCTTCATCTGCAACCCCAGGCACACCAGTTTTGGTAGTAGCTTTGCAGATTGCTTGTTTGTTTTTTTGTTGTTCTGTTGGAGCTTAATTCCGGGCCAGAAATTGGCTGTTGAATCATGTTTGGCTGTCAGAACAGACGAAAGTGTAATGCCATATGCCTGAACATACACCCAGAATCCTTTGAGAGGTAAAAGCCCCCTATATGCCAACAGCTGGAGAGGAGATGTGGAGACACCTGCGCACCAAATGAACAGCGAACGTCGCTGCTCGCGGGAACATCTGGCTGTGTGTCGACGAACCGCTCCAACACATACTCCTCCATCAGGCTGGAACTCCCGTGCTTATAAGGTCAGACATCGCTGGCAGCTGGTCAGTGTTGTAGACTTTAACTACTTTGAGCTTGCCAGCGGGGGGTGTTTGACATGATAAAGCTCATCCCTCACCACAATGGCAGGGGGGGGGGGGGGGGGTGTTCCCCACATCTGAGACGAGGTATTGAAGAAACTGGAAACATAACTTCTCGTGTCTGTCTTGTCGGTCCTTCAGTGGCTCTGCCTGAAAACCACACAAAGAGGCACTGGGAGTTCACAGTGCTTTCCAGAGAAATACTTTTCTCACCGTCGGGGTTTAACAACTATGTTTACTTGAGCGCCACAGCTGGAAACGGGGAGTATGTCATCTTGTACGTACTCAACTGGGATAAGAAAGGTCAAAGTGTCTGTCAGTAAGCTTGTCTGATTAATTCCCAGCAGTAAGGAATAAATGATACATCATTATTTATTATCTTTTGATCCATGCTAAGGGGGAGCACGTGTCACTGCTTCAGAGATGTCAGTTATTCAAACTCCAAGCAGATGTCCGGTACAAATATACAAGTTGCCTGGTCGTATGTCCTCAGCTATCGAGAGCTTTATTCCTGACAATATTAATATTATTTATGCTGACTGAAAACTATCTTGTATATTAAGGAGTTCGACGAAAAGAAGGCTTTGGGTGGTCTTGTTGTGTTTCCACAGTGCCGAGTTTCTTTGTCTATCGTATTCTGGGATTCCTCCAAAGATGTGATCAGAAACTGGCAGTTGTAACACAAAGTGACTCTTAAACGATCTTCGTTTTTATACTCTGAATCCTTAGCACAAAACATATTTTGTTGTCAGAGCCGGTCTCGTCTCGAGCGTGCTACAGTCAGGTCAGCACGTCCTACAGAGTTCATGTGAATGTAGGTCGACCATAACCAGTCACTTAAGAACACAGGCATGTGGTTTGTCCCGCCACTCACTCGCCCATGGGAACACCCCACCACTGTAGCAAATCTTTTCCTGTTTTTAGGGATGAGCTCAGACCAGCTACATTAGATCCCTTTTCTTTGCTACCACTGAATAGGGCTGGGACCAGGTGCCACATGAATGGGTATTGCTCTCAGATTAACCACAATTCATGCCCTCCTTTTGTATAAAAAGGTGAATTTTAGAGCAGTCGTGTCCAGGTGACTGTCTCAAACGGCAGAAACACAGACAAAAGTGACTTGGGTTACAGGATGGGTTACAGCCCCAATGGGACAGACAATGACTTGGCCTCAAATGAATGTGTTGGCTGTCAGTGTCTCACATCTTTACAAATGCCCCAAGTTGTCTCTGTGCAAACATTATCCACCAAGAAAAGAAAAGGGCACTTGAAACATGGGTTTCGCTCTTAAAGACTTCTCCTTCCTTTTGTTTGCCCCACAGAATTCATATGGTGTGGTCTTGCCTGCCATTGATATTCTGAAGAGAGTCTTGGTGCATAAAGCTAGTGGCCCTCTTGAATTTTCTGCAAAACGAATTATCCATACTCATTACTATTACCTTTTTGTTTTTCATCAGGAGAAGTTACTGCAAAGAAATAGTGAATTCCACGCCACACAGGACAACAGGGGCATAACTCAGCGAGCGAAAAGAAGTCCCGGCAAGCAGCCAGAAACAGGTATGTTGTTTGGAATTATCCTCATCTACTAATGCCGTGTCTTGTCCTTACGGAAGTTGTATTCAGACATGTAATCTATCCCTTCTGCATTTGTCAGGCTCAAACTTCAATTTCAGTACCCAATATGACCAAAACTACTACTTTCGGGAATTGTATATCTGTTGAGCAACTGTAATTTCCGTTTGTTTGGAGGGGTAAATAACAGATGTTTGAAGGGGCTTAAAGCTCTTAAGTTTTCAAAACGGTTTGTTAATGGTTTCTCACTTTTCGTGGAATTGATTTTTGTTATTGCTTTGTGCCAACTTAACAAAGCAGCTCCACCACAAAATGTTACATAGTTTATAGAGCGAAGGATTAAATGGAATGGGATTGATTATTACTTGGATAGCAAACAAGGGGTTTGGGAGGGTCTCACCAATTTGAAACAGACAGCGGAGCCCGGGTTGAAATAATAATAATAGGTCCCCAAAATATATTTTCTATCTGTCAAATAAGCAGATTGAGAATTTTGTATTCAAAATGTGTTATCGGCCAGGTCTGAACCATCAGAAAAAAAGATGAGAAACAGAACCACTTTGTAGTACATAAAGTAACTTTAAAGAACCAGGTGGCCATTTCTGAGAATTAGATGGCTTTCATTAATCCCTCTGAAATGATTTATCGTAATCAATAGCTCTGCAGCAAACCATATGGCCAATATGTCTGAATTTGCTTTTGTAGTTTTTGTTTAGAATGTGAGCTATGCAAATAAAAAAAGCAAAGCCTTTGAAGTTTCATGTCTGAGTGCAACAAGTGCAGCATGATCACAAGGCATTCCAATGTCTGTGGCGTGACACTGAATACTTGGGGGGAAGTTTAGTGATTGTGTTTAAATTAGAAGAAAAAACTCACCTTTGAGACTTTCTACATAAATCAGTAAAGTCCCGAGCCTCTAAACACTAATCATTCCCAGGTCTCTCCTCTGCGCTCAGCCCACAGACAAAGGCTTTTGTAATCTCAGCCTTAGATGTGTGTTTGTGTGTATAAGTGTGTGTGTGTCCTGTGTTTGTGCGTATGCGTGCGTTCTGGGCACTCCTAACGGGCACCAGATTCCAGATAGGGCTGCTCGTTAAGAGAAATGTATGCGGATGCATCCAGTCATTTAGCCAGAGGAGAAACACTGGCCATATGTTTGAGGGGGACTCAAACTGTGAGGTTTTAAGGTTAAATGGTCTTTGTAGTTGTAATGATATGGTAAACACAAGAGCAGCAAGACGGCTTTTTGAAAAGGATTCTTCAGCTGCACACAGGGCATGCACACACAGACACACACCAAGTGCATTTTGTCTTTTAAGCACTGACATCAATGCCACACCAACATCCATGCACGCACGCACGCAACACACACACTTACACATGGTTGTAAAGGGGAGAAGCACACACACACACACATGTACACACACTTTCATCTACATTCTCCATCTGGGCCTAATTCAAAGAAAAGGATTTTGGCAGGATAAAGTATCTCTCTAATGATCTTCTCCAGTTCCACTGCCTGTGAAAGCTTAAGGCACTTGTTCATACAGAGGAGGTGAAACCACACTTACAAATTACTACACTAGAAGATACCACAGACTGACATACCTCCACTCCAGTGCCGAACATCTGAATCTGTTATTTTAGCCCATTTAGGATGCCTACACAGCGCGCTGGGTACTAGAGATGTTACCGGAGATGATAATTGTGCACGAGACCATTTCAAGTTCAATCACACTGTTTTCATTTCCTACAGAATCTACTGGAAGGGAAAGGAGGAAAGAGAAGAAAAAAGGTAATACATGATGTAACCAACCTTTCACTGATGGTTGGTCATTGATAAGACTGCTACCTGCTCATACTCTGTTAGTTCTCTTGGGATGTGGTCCAAAATCCAGTAACCTTGTACGCTAACAGTGGTTCAATGGTTGATTCAGTCCGTCAAGCATATTTTTCCTGCCTTTTGCCTATCTTCATATCAAGCTGTACAATCTGTATTGATAACTATTGTAAAGTTTGTGTAATGTTCGTTAGTTTGGGCTATATAAATAAAGTTGACTTGATAGTCAAAAGATTATTTTTCTCAGCTTCTTTGATTGCCAACCATTTTGCTTTCTCTCTTTACAGGAAGAAAAAGGTCTGTGCCAGGCCCTCCTGGCCCCCCGGGTCCCCCGGGCCCACAGGGGCCACCGGGCATCCCTGGAATCCCCGGTATTCCAGGAAGCAATGCTGTAGGGCCTTCAGGACCCCCTGGACCCCCTGGGCCGCAGGGACCTCCGGGTACTCAAGGTCCAGCAGGTATTAAAACTTTAAATAGAAATTACACGATAATGCGCTGAGATAGCCAAGTCTCCAGCAGGAGGACTGGAAAACACCCAGGAGTTGAGAGATTGGTTCTTAGATTACACTATTTTCCCGTATGTAGACACGTTCCCACACTAGAAGAGAGCTCAAGTTGTCAAAATCGATGAACTCATTGCCTTCAGTGAGAGTTTCTGATGCAGCATGTCAAACAGTGTGGGAGAGCAGTGTTCGTTCCTTAAACTATTTCACTGTTTGTTTTCTTTTAATCGTCATCCTCTCCTTTGTTCCCCAGCAGTGTTGAAAGCCAGAAATTCATCATGTCTGTCTTTCCATTTTGTTGCAGGGGTTCCTGATAAGACGAAAACAAAAGAATACCAGGTAGAGTATGTCAGCTATTAAAATTAAATGTCCCTGATGAAACAGATGTTCTCTTGTTTTAACTATGTAACCAGATTAGTCACCAGAGATCTTTATGTTTCAGCCTGCAGTGGTTCATTTGCAAGGGCAGGAGACAACCATCCAAGTGAGAGAGGGTGAGTCTTCTATTTTACTCTGTTGCAGTTACACCTCTGCCTTTTTGATTTATGAGGAAACCTAACAAAGATCTGCTACTGTTAGACTATACATAGACTTACACCAGAATACAAATATTGTAAAATATATTCTGTTTAGAGGGCTTAATGTGGTTGTAAATATTTACTTGAGGATTATTTAAGATTATAGTAACCCTAAAGTAATGCTATAGCTATCACAGGGTTAGGATACAGCCATAGGCTTACATTACAAGTCAGACCTGTGTTATCTCGGATTGAGCCTTGCTTGCTAGCAGGCTGCTAGCAGCAAAAGACTGCATGCGTCATTATCAGGTTTATTATGTTCAACTGAGCTCTGATCTGAGTTAACCACTGCTGAAAGCTGTTTATGTTGACCGTTTGCCTCTGGTTTGTTTGTTGTGACGTGTTTAGATCTGTCTGAAGGCATCCTGAGGAACTGGAAGATGGTGTCCATCCATCACCGCGTGTTTAAAATGCACTCTCGCTCTGGAGAGCTGGAGGTGCTGCTGGACGGTGTCTACTTCATATATAGTCAGGTAGAAGTGAGTACGGTCTTTGACGTAACTCTTATAATTTATAGACAAAATAACTGGCAGGTGCTCAGTAGATAACTTAAAAACCTGCTTGCTTTGCTTAAATGTTTTGAGTTATAGCGGAGGCATATTTATTCTCCCTGTGCTATAACTCATAGCCGTGTTGCTACTCTGATATTTCAGCTGTTCCAGCATTACATAAGCTCTTAAATATCACTACCCCTCTCAGTCTTGTGTGAATTTCATGTCTCCGCCAGGTGTACTACCTCAACTTCACTGACATCGCCAGCTATGAGGTGATGGTGGACTCCAACCCGTTCCTTCGCTGCACCTGCAGCATCGAGACAGGACAGCGCAAGTTCAACACCTGCTACACAGCCGGGGTGAGCCTGCTTCGAGCCGGCCAGAGGATTTCCATACGCATAGTGTACGAGGACACGCTCATCAGCATGACCAATCACACCACCTTCCTGGGAAGTGTCAGACTTGGAGAGGCTCCATCTGCTGGACAGAACTGAAAGCTACACAGCCACCAGCCCTCTACGTGAAATGCCCAAAGTCTTGCCCCCGTTTAGAGGAAACTTAAATCCTCCGGGTTTCAAAGTTGAGGACCCCCGCTGCAACTTTTGTTCACTCGTTCACAGTTCTCTATTATAAAAAAGGACAATATAGACGTTTAGGCTTCCCCCCACGAAGGTTCTGTGCAAAGAGATCAGTGTTGATGAGCCTCATCAAACAGACGTTTCTATTTATAGTCTCCCTTTTGTGTCAACACAGACGCTGGCATCTCTCTTTATAACAAGGAAGGACACTGCGCTGACATATACTTAATATTTACATATTTGTAAGTGCTGTTGAATGATAATCTTGTATCTCCAAAAAACTATTCAAAATGTTTTATTTGCAGTTTGTGTACTTGGCAATTTGTATTAATTTAATTATATTAACACTTGTAAGTGGTTTTACAAAAGGTTTTAAGCTCTGTATACCCCTAGGCTATACATTTTTCAATGGATCATATACAAGTTCAAAGAAAGTATAAATGAATCTATGCAAAGTAGAGAAACATTCATAAAACTGGAGTTATAAGGTATTCAAAGAGCAACAGCACTATATATTTTGCACACATTTGCACTACAGCATCCCTGCAGAATATCAGCGATATGTTTTGTTACAGTGCTATTGTTTAGTTATCGAATGAATGAATCCATGTGGGAAAATGATATTGTTGTTAATACGTCTCTGTACATATTGTATATAAAAAGGGATATACTTTTGTAAATGGAGTTGATTGATGGATTAAATGTTACATTTTTTTGTCTAAATGCTTTTGTCTTTCTCTTGTGGTTGTGTAGCGGGTGGTATTGATTTAAAAGGTTAATGCTCCTCTTTCATGTTGGAATCTGCTGGCAAAAGTATTGACAAGAACAAATGATGTTCTTTGGGTGAGGTGTTTGGTTTTATTAAAATGTGGCTTTTACTTTGAGTGCAAGTTTCACAATACACTGCAAATGTGGCTGTAATGTTCATACAATCTAAATGAGTTCCATGTTGAAAGGCAGAGGAAAGATAGTTCCTCATTTAGAAACACATTTTGAAACTGAACATTTAAGGTTTCTGGGGTTAACTGAAGTGACCTCATCCATTTGAATAACTTCAGGACATGCAGTCTGTCTCACGATGCTTTACAATGCTTTATTATCACTCACAGCATTTATGTTTTGTCTTTTCCTGGTGCACAGAGCCAGTGTTTTAGAAAATCATTTTCCAAAACTCCAAGGGGACATCATTCTACAATTAAATCAGCCACTTTCTGAGGGAGTCAATGGGAAAATGGCCAAGATGTCTCAAACAAGGGAGGTATGTCACTGATTATGCAGGATGGAGTCATCTTGGACATTGTACTACTGAGATGTATGCCATTAGTGAGTTCTCAGATAAAGCTGCAATAATAAATAGTCTCCTAATGCTTTGTTTTCTCTTAGGAGATAAAGCCAAGTACTTTACTAAAAGCACAGAGTTCTCTAAAGATGTTTTCTAGGAGAGTAAAAGGGAACAGGGCAGCTGCAGAGGTGGGTTGGAGCTGAGAACTGAACATGTTTCCATTAGTTACGGTCAATTCTGGTGGTGAGAACATTACCAGTACATGCTAAGTAATATGTTTGTTTTTTCTCCTATTGCTAGTTCCAACATCATTCCTGCAGTTAACCGCTAACACAAACAAACGGCCAGACCAGAGCCGTATAATAGAAGAGTTACGACAACGGAAGTCCAAAAACGGTTATCGTCACGTGGTTCATGTAGAAGAGGATCGTTCCCCGGAAGTTCATGGCGGGCAATGTGAATGCATTGATAACAGGAGATAGAACTACGATTTTTGGTAATTATTAGTGAATAAAGGTTTTGATTTGCAATATTTATACAACAAATCGATATGTGTATGTATTTACATCAATATGTTTTAAAAAATAAAATAGAATTTGCTAATATTAAGTGATAATATTAGGATTAGTGTGAACAACTAGTTTACATGTTAGGCTAACAGTGCCTTGGTTAAAGAGCCTGTTGCTGTTTATTTATAGCTTTGAATTCTTTAAAACCAATATTATCTTCTTAAACTTGTATGGTAGTCATGAGCATCACTTTCTAATGTTTATTGATATATTTAGAGGGAGGGGATCTAAAGTAATGCTTTAAAATTCAGATTAGATTAATGTCTACCATTTTCTTAAATTCATGGTAGTTTCAGTAATCCCATGGTAATTGAGGACACAAGTTATCTAAATGACTAATGTCATCTTTATGGCTTTCAGAAAGGACAGGAGACCGACAGGTGACTATCAAAGGACTAGCAGCAGCAGCATGATGATGTTAAATGTGTTGTTTTAGGAACATCCATTGCAAATACATGGAATTCAATAAACATTGAATAGTATATCATGCAGTTTGTCTGTGCCTTTTCCTCCTTGTTGTCCTGGTTTGCTGTGCTGCCTCCTAGTCGCCACCATGGTTTGTTGTGCTGCCTGGGGATGCTCCAATCGCTCCGAGAAAGGAGTACGAATGTACAGCTTCCCCACTGACACAGAGCGGAGGAAGCAGGAGCAATTTCACGACCAACAGCAAAAAAATATGTGATTTATATACAAACACTGCATTTGCACTTTTTCACAAAACGAAAACCACACCATTGGGAAAGCTTAATGTTTTGTTTAATACAAAAAACAGGGAAAGGCTTGAAAAACACAGAGTTGAGACTCAGGGTGCAAGGTGAGGGTCTCAGTGCAGGTATTCAGGCTCCATTGAATCCCCCTCTGGTTCTTGTGCTAAAAGAGGGATAAACAGACAGGTGAAAGGGTTATACACACACAGCACACCTATTGGATGGGAAATTGCCTTGGGGAGATAAGGTGTGGTCTTTGTTCCCAACTGAAGTTATGGAACTTTATTATTTGTGAGTTTAACAAAGTATGACAAATGGCATCAGTAACATATGTGATATGAATTTCTATAAAGTTGTCTCACATTCTTGGTCATATTGTATATACAGTATGTAATGAGTATAACATGTCCAGTAAGTATAAAGTGTTTCCTAATACTGTGTATTCAACCACTATGGAATATGTATGTGGGCAGACAAAACTGAGTTGTTCTGTGTGTGAAGTAACCTCAAGTCACTCCGCAGCCACATTTTGATGCAGACCAGTTTGTCAAGACAAAAAAGGGCAAGACTAGGCTGAGAGCAGAGGCTATACCCACCATCTTCGTGCATCGCCCTGTGGTCAAAAAGAGAAGGGCCCCTGCACCACGATTCACCCCGGGACCTGTATCTACAAAGCCCATAGCTCATGATCACAGCGATAGTGTGAAAGGTGACACAGGTATAATAAGTATGAACTCTTAGTAACAAAAGTAATATTTCTTATTTTTAAGTGGTATAATATTTTAAATGTTCGAACATTTACAGTGCCATGTCTTCTACTTACATTAGTCTCAAAGATTGAGGGAAGAAGGGAAGGGATCACTGCCCTCCACCTGCCAGAGGAGCGCAAACAACAAAAACAAGCAAGGTGTCCCGTCATGTACCTGGAAGTTTGGGTTGGCAAAATGGAGTAAGAGAGGGACTTGAAAAACCTTGGTGGCTCTCTACTCCTGTTGTTACAGTTGTCTTGGTTACAGCTCTCACGTGTTTTTTTGTTGCCATTTCCACATCTTTAGAAAATATGAAATAAAAAATTGAAGTGAAATCAACCTCATCTCTGGAGAACAAACTTTGATTTCTCTGTCTTGTGAGTTTGCAGTCTTGCTCCTCCACCTGTAACATCACTGCCCCTCCACCTGCCATACAGTAGGTTACTAACAAGATTACTTATATAATACAGTGATATAATACATGTTTAGTATGCTTACTTATATAAAACAGTAGTATTAAACTTACCTTGTGTTTTCACACTCACTTAAGTCCCTCTCCCTTTGCCATCAATCCAAAATCAGCTGAGCTGCAACATTATACAGACAGGTAATAATCAACATAATCACAAGGACACAATATGGCTCTGCTAAAAACACTCACTCTTACACGCACCAAAGTTATATTTATCTAATATTTAACTCCCTCCACCCCCGCATACAATCCCGTTTAAAAGCCCCTCTTCTCTAATTCAACAACGTTGGACCAAATGACATTAAGAGAACGGAATTTACAATTAAAAGGTTGTTCAACGTCTGTTGCTAACTTGCTTTGGTATCCTAGCTTGATCTGTTATCTGTAAACGTTATTTAGGGATAATCCACTGACATCCTTTAATACACATGTTCATTTGAATCAGATGTACTGATAATATCCGCAATATAAATCTTTAAACTTCTTCTTACCTTTAAAAGTCCGTCACGAACGGTTATTATGCTGCAACTCTACCGCTCTGCTAGCCTTGGCGCTAACTTCCGGGGAACGAATGAGAGGCTCCACGATCCGCCATTGCTGTAAAAAAGTGGTCCATTGGAGTGAACGGAGATGTCATAACTCTTCTATTATACGGCTCTGGGCCAGACATAAGAGGTAAAACTAAATTCAAGTAGGGGAGAAGGGGGTAAGTTGAACCACCCCCTGTAACCAGGCAACGACTTATAGTTGTAATCAAGTGACCAGAAATTATGCAAGATCCACCCATTTCTCATTGCCCGTGAAAGAGAGATACTCATTGTGGTCTGGTAAGTAAAGATTTTTACAAAAAAACGTTTTTTGCTTGTCAAAGTACATTTTCTAGATGTCAGCTATATCGGCTGTCATGTCAAAAAAAAGTATCCAGGTTTAAACACATATATTGTATTTGATGTGTTGGCAGCGTATTAAACCATGTGAATCATTAAGCTAAAGATGACTGAATTGTAATGCTAGGCTATTTTTTCTAAAATGGTGGCTGTGGGGTAAAGTGAACCATGGGCCTTGGGGTTGGGGTAAGTTGAGCCAGTTTTTCAATGGAGAAATGAATGAAAGTAGGCCAAGTTGATAAGAGCTCAGTGTAGGCTACATTTAAAGTTGAATTTACCCTGTGTTTGATTGGTAAGATGTATGAAATTGTATCACCATTTGTATGATTACTTTTCCTTTTAACATGTTAAAAAAAAATCAATTAATTCAATCGAAATTTATATTAAAAATATTTGAAAAACTAAGCTTGTATTTGGTTTGTTATTTATTGTTTATAGTTACCTTTAAGATTTGTTGTAGGTATGCCCAGGTTTGAACCGTGGTTCAATTTACCCCCTGACCTGGATCAACTTACCCCTACACTGGGGCAAGTTGAGCCACAAGACTTCTTTTTTTTAAGAAGTAATATTTTCACTGCCCTTGATCAAATATTAATTATTATCATTGCCATTGATAGGAGACATCCTGAATTATAGGTGTGTGTTTTAATTTTTACTATGTGTCATTTCTCCTTGCTTAGAGGACAGCATAACTAAAGAATGGCTCAACTTACCCCACTCTCCCCTACTTGGCTTCAGCATCGCAGTGTATGCCATTATTTTGAGTAAGTGTACTTGCCTCCTCCCATAGGAAATATAACAGTTATCCCTTGGACTGTTTCTGCGCAGCAAGGAAATGCAATTTCACAAAAGGAAAACAGAATTGTTGTCCAAGAAGATGGATTTGACTTGGTGTTTGGACAAGTATTGTGTCACTCTAATTCAAGCATAACTAAATTGATATTACATCTGATTTGTTACAACTGTTCCGCTGATGTTCTGCTTAATTCACAGGTTTTGTTCAATAGCCCAAGTACAGTTAAGGGTCATATCATTCGCAGTTGGGCTTTCAATAAAACTTGGACCACATCAACAGAGCTGTTGCGTTGCTTGCAAGAGATGGCTGATGAAACCCCTGCCAATACATGCTACACTGGAGGTCAGTGAGGCGATACTGTCGGCCTGCATAGTGGCAGCTTAAACATATTCTTCAATATTTGGGGGAAATAAATATGCCCTTTTGCTGTCTTGCCAAGAGTTAAACAAGGAGATTCATAACACTTTCATATCTGGTTCTTACATATAACGCTACGGCCACCAGGCTGTAAATCTGTATAAAAAGTTATCTGCATATGAATGTAGAATTGGCACGGACGGATTCTGGTTTCCATTTTCTTTTGCAGTTTGTAGTCCAAGTAGTATCATCGTTCACATAGAGCTGGCTTAAGTTGGATACAGGCAAACAGTCCATGTGGAAAGCAAAAAAGGCTGAAGGCCTTGGCTGATAAGCAATCTCATAATGCATTGGATAATGGATTAAAGCTTTGAGAAATAAACTGTAGCAGCTAGTGTAAACGGACTACTAGTGAAACAATTGGGTTGTCTTTCAATTCCAACTCTGTTCTCGCGTCTTAAGTTTCTAATTGAACTATAGTTAACCCAGCTCTGTCCATAGTTTAAACTACATTTGCAACCATTGTGTTTGATATATTTGTAAAAGCAACACATTGTGGTTGTACCGGACTATTTTGTTGTCACATTGACTCATCGTCACACTGAGGCGAACAGTTTGAATGAATGACATTATGTGCTGCTGGAAGAAGGATTGTGTTGCCATTGGACAGAGCTAGCTGTTTCCATCTGTTTAAACTCTTTGTGCTAAGCTAAACTAACCAGCTGCTGGCTATATTGTTTTATATGTACAGTTCAGGCATCAGAGTGGTATTGATCTTCTCACTGAGCTCTGGGCAGAAATTACGTTTGTGTGTTTTTCCCAAAATGTTGCACTATTTCATCAACTTTTGCAGCCTCTTCACCATTTTCTTTGAGGGGTCAACAAATATATCTTTTCATTGGCTTTCATTCCTCCAGGAACAGCTCCAGGGACTTGAAGAGTCTGTCCTCTCTTGGCCCTTGTCACCTATCTTTTATCTCCTTTGATTCGTTTTTTTGTCCTTTGCCACAGGCATAGTGCAGCTGCAGCTGCATCAGGATGATGAGCTGGAGTTGGTGATACCCAACAGGCAACACACCCTCATCTCTATGGAAGCAGAATCCACCTTTTTTGGTGTCATACAGCTAAACTGAAACAAGTCGGTCTGAAGATGATAACAATGCAGCTCAATGCTGCAGGAAGTGGGCAACTGACACTGAGCTGAGGGGATGCTGATAAAGGACAGAAGTGACAGCAGCAGGAAAACTGTCGGGACATGTCATTAATCTCAGGAAAATGCATTATCAACTTTTAATTAACTGCCCATCTCATGTGTCCTTTTCTTTCACAGTACTTTTTAAATCCTTAGCTCTAAACTCTTATGCTGTGTCTTTCAGGTACACCTGGGCCTGTCCTCTAGCATTGTTTATGTGTGCTACCACCTCCTTTCATCAGTCTATTTGAGTATGGCTCTTTATACCTTGCATGGGGCTGTCCTCCAGCTCAACCTCCGCTCTGTCTGTTTATTTGTTCCTCTCGTCTATTTTAGAATGGTTTCCGTTTTTCCTAAGACTATGTCAGGAACAAACAAAGGTATAAATATATGCAGCTCTGGCGGTGTTGTCCTGGTTAACACGAAGTTCTTAACACTGTAGATATTTAAAAATAAATCATGATCAAATTAAAGTAGTTATAGATCGGATAATATGTCAAAGTACAAATTAATTATCACTTAGTATACAAGTTTGTAACTAAAGATGTAATGTGTATAATTGATCACAATAAATAGAAAAAAACATGTACACACTTGTCTAAGAGCCTCTTTTTTATCAAAATTAAATATGTCGTTACTGAGAGTATTTTTTTTAAAGAAAGCAATATATCAGTGGTCAGGCCTTCATTGTCTAAATATATCCACAATGCCTATCTGGTGTCCAGCTGTTTTCTCTCTCGCTTTTTTTATGAAGCATGGCTATAAGAGGGTGTGTTTGAGCTCTGGCAGCAGTAGTGGTACAGTTGAACAGCAGCAGAAGCAGCAACAGATTGAGGATGGTCAGACATATGTTCTCTAATCTCCTACTTCTCTGGTCAGTCGGCTATGACCTTTATATAACTGGACTGACACATCACAAGCCCAAGGTAGGCCAAAGATTATATCATTCAAATGTTTTGTAATAGCAATTTATTTTCTTTTTGTTTTACTTTGGCTTTTATGGGTCCCTCTTTGATTATGATTACTTTTCCTTTCATTTCAAGGAGCAGTCCTGGAACAATCAACATCTCTATTCTGTCCCTCTGGATTTAGATGTAAGGCTCAGAAGACTAGATCTGTCCAATAACTTCATCACACAGTTGCACAGACTTGCTTTGCCTTACTTGGAACAGCTGGACCTGAGCGCCAACCAGCTGGATCTCATCTCCGAAGGAGCTTTTGAAAACCTGACTCATCTTGAGGAGTTGAATTTGTCCAGAAATGCGCTGAACAACAACCTTGGCAGTAACTTCAAAGCCCTCCAATCCATCAGTGGACTGAAGAGTTTGGACATATCAATGAATGGTTTGAGAAATGATGCAGTGGGACTGTACCTTAGAAACAAACCATCTCTTGGTCAACTTAAAATGACTGGTAATGCTTTAACAAGACTTTCACACAACTTGTTCAAAGAGAGTAAAGGTTTGAGGGCCATTACTATTGATGACAATCAAATATCGGTCATAGAACGGGGGACATTTGAACCATTGAGCCAATTAGAGATGCTTGACTTGGCCAAAAATAACCTTGCCCATATTTGTGATTTTAAATTAACTCAAGTTAAATATCTTAATCTCAGTCAAAATTCAGTTGAGTTCTTTGTTACACGTGACGATGACCAGTTGTACCGGCTTGAAATTCTTGATCTAAGTCACAACAATCTCCTTTATTTCCCAATTGTTCCAAAAATAAACAGTTTGAGGTATCTTTATTTACAGAATAATATGGTTGGTGCCCTAAATTCAGAGGCAACAATGGTATCAGAGGCCAATGATCTATATAGTGAAATTACACGTGAGAAAACAGTTAGAAGAAATATCCTACACTCAAACTGGAGGCTGATGCCACTCATTTATATTGACCTGAGCTATAACCACTTCAGGTCTTTCCCATTGGAGACTTTGAGTCGGCTCTTATCTTTAGAAACACTGAATTTCAGTTACAACTGTTTGCAAAACATCACGTGGAATATAAGAAATGATGAATCAGGACACCATCGGCAGCTTTCTTTCCCCTCCTTAAGGTACCTAGACCTGCAGAGTAATGGACTTAAATACATTTCTCCACTATTTCTCAAAGCACTCACACAGATAGAAACATTAAATCTACAAGACAATTCTGTGCAACCTTGTGCCTCTATGGATCAATCAACACAGCAAAACAATCTCAACATATCCTGTGTTATCTTTGGTAATTTAAGGACCCTTAAAAACCTCAATCTTCAAGAAAACAACATCAAGAATCTTCAAGAAAACACCTTTCTAAAAAACTCTTTGGTTTCTATAAACCTTGCAAAAAATGCACATATGGTTGTGCAGGAGGATGCACTAAATGGTTTACAAGAGACTCTTCAGTCTTTGATAATCAGTGAAACTAACATGACCAGCTCTGATCTGTCTTTACCCTGCATGCCAGCGTTAACTCAGCTAAACATATCCAACAACCGTCTAGATGTGATACCCAGCAGTTTGAGCTGCTCTCCTCTGAGAGAAATCGACATTAGAAATAATAACTTTGCGTCTTTAAACCATTCTTTGATTCTTGCTTTATCTCTGCATCTTAATGTTATGTATATTAGCGGAAATTATTTTAATTGTTGTGACAGTAAATGGCTGATAATCCTAGATGAGTTAAAGATTAAAGTGCTTGATGTCAATGACACTGTATGCTTTACAAGTGGTGGAAATGTTACGGTGACAGGTTATCTGAACAACCGTTCAGTGTACTGTTTGTTTCATATGAAAGAACAGGACATTCACTTTGGAACAGTGATCATAATCATGTTGTTTGCAACTGTAATATTAACAGTGTTCATTTTATTCATCAGGAAGGTGGTTTGCACACAGAGATCATTTATAGTGTGATATTGTTATGTATTGGTTTATTCTGTGTCATATGCACAGCAAACAAAATATAGTGAGAAACAGAAATTATGTAAAAAGGTTTATTCCTGTGGGTTTCATTTTGCCTGACCAATTTGACTATGAACAGAAGTGGGGTTTAATGGCTGCTTGGACTGTTAAAACTAGCTGACATTTAGTTAATAAAATGCATTTAAATCTTCATTGTCTGACATGATTCTATTCTCAACTCCATTCAAGACTTCCTTTTATGACTTCCCGCAAATTATTAGTCTTGTAAAACATGCATCATGCAGCCAAAATGTTGTGATTAAAATTGGCTTTATTGACTCCCAAGCTGTTTTTTATAGTGTTTGCCAAATCAGGCAGAGGTTTTTTTTGCTCATACTTCATTGTGAAATGTTTGTTTGAAACTAAAAGTTTAGCTTTGGCTCAATTTTTTATGACGTCTTTGAGGCCTTGCATAACACTCCCAGAATCTGAACTCCGGAACAAGCCTATTAGATGCCAAGAAGAGACCTTGTACGAGTTTCTGTATAACTATATAGTCTAAAAATATGTTTTGAATAGGTCAGGCTGTAATTTTTTTACAAGATACATTTTATCATATATCACTTTCTGCATCTGTATTTTGTTATGTACATTTGCTTCGGCTCTGACTCTGGTTGTCAAATATAATGCTAAATGTGGCAACAGTACAACGGATGCTGTATGTAATAAACATTCTGTTCCTACCAGAATATGCTGGCAATACTAATTTTTAGAATATGAATCCGTTCATTTACATACCTGCGAAATAGATAATGAGTAAAGTTTTAAGGCATATAGATTACAAATATATTAAATAGGAGGGGCCATTACCACTATACGTGAGATCCATTCTGACTGAATATAGATCTAAAACATTTAGGAAAATAAGACCCCTATATTTTTCAATATAAGGTAAACCAACTGCACTTGAGCTACCTTTAAAATGTCATCCCACAATGCTGATCCACTGAAAAGGAGGGGGCTGATTGTGTGGATAAAACTGTGCAAAAATACCTATGACATTGCAGTGTGAATGAATCCAAAATGTGAAGGGATTGTATTACAATCTGAGCAAGCAGCTTGGGTACACTACAGAGAAACTGCCGTTGCAGCAGGATATCCTGTCAAGCAATCCTCTTATTGTCTTCTTATTGCACATCCTTCTTCTTTAAAACTGATGCAAAGTGCCATTTTGTAATTTCTCGTGCCCATTACCACTCTGGGTAGAGCCAGGTCTGCAATGCCAGTGTTAGAGCCTTGGCAGCCAGATGCATATCAATCTGACTCATGAGCAATATAACTGTAGTAAATGTCTTTGTTGCCCCACCTACAAGATTTAGGTACTAGATCAGGTAGCAGCCTGACAAGTTCAAGCAAAGAGTACTGGAAGAAAAGAACACTGTGTGATTAGTATTAGGTCTAAAACCTTTGCAAGTAGCACATTGCATTCATACTTCTACTTTGTGGTTAATGGTAGCTTGAATTTAGACATTAGCAACAGCTTGTTTGTTAGCACAATAGAGGAAGTCAGACTCGCCCTAGGCTACATTTATTTTCCAGGAAGCATTTCAAGGATTTTCCTCTTAACATTTACAGCTTTTTATGTATTACTTTAACCTGAGACTGTGAAGGTTTCTTTTATTTTACATCAAATCTACCATATGGTAAAAAACAGTATAACTCAAGAAAAGACATTGCCTTGGCTCATAATACAGAAATCCTCAAAGTAATATTATTTACAATACATTGACATGCATCATTTTTTAAAGTGTTATTTATTATTCTTTCTGTGTCTTTGTATGCACCACATATACCAACGCCAATTCCTTGTAAGTGTAAGTGTACTTGGTAATAAAACTGATTCAGGATCCAGACCTCTTTTCCCGAGCCTGTTTTTCAGGCCTCAGGCTCGGAAATGACATTCCCAGAACAAATGACCATAACTTAACTTTTAAAAGGGGTAAATTAATGATATTTTTTCTCAAAGCAATCATAAACCTGTGAGTTGGATGTAGAAGAGTCAGAATCAATATAGAATTGTTTTATTTGAAAGTAAATTCAGATTGAACATATATAGTGTCCGTCCAAAACCATCAAGATTGATGCAAAACAAGTGAAGTTTGACCTTTTTAGAGAGGTTTAGAAGAGAAAAAAACACTTCTGGGGTCATTTGGGTGCATTTTCCATATGGCTGATATGGAATCGCACATACTAGGAATTTGACTTGATGTCATGGTGCAGACATAAAATATAAAAAACAAGAAATCTAATATAAAATAAAAAAATGTTTACACCGTAATAAAATATAGTTAAATAGCAATGAAAATAAAGCAGTAATTTACATGGAAATAGAATGCTATGAATGAATTTTAGAATATGAACTATGAAATGTGAAATAAGAATATTTGCAGTAATGTATGAACATTATGTGCATTAATGTAATGCATATAGTCTAGACTAGTCTACGTTCTGGCTGAGGTAAGTGTCAGTGGGGGGGCCGGGCCTTGTTTAAGAGGCCGGCAGCGGAGGGGAAGAAACTGTTCAGGTGGCGAGAGGTATTGGTCCTGATGGAGCGCAGCCTCCTGCCAGAGGGGAGGGGGGTGAACAGTTTGTGTCCAGGGTGGGAGGGGTCGGCCACTATCTTCCCGCCTCAGGGTTCTGGAGGCGTGCAGGTCGTGGAGGGATGGCAGATTACAGCCGATCACCTTCTCTGCAGAGCGGATGACCCGCTGCAGCCTGCCCTTATCCTTGGCTATGGCGTACCAGATGGTGATGGAGGAGGTGAGGATGGACTCCATGATGGAGGTGTAGAAGTTCACCATCATTGTCTTTGACAGGTTGAATTTCTTCAGCTGCCTCAGGAAGAACATCCTCTGCTGTGCTTTTTTGATGAGGGAGCAGATGTTCTGCTCCCATTTGAGGTCCTGGGCGATGATGGTGCCCAGGAAGCGGAAAGACTCCACAGCAGTTACTGGGGAGTCACACAGAGTGATGGGGACGGGCGGGGCTGCGTTCTTCCTGAAGTCCACGACCATCTCCACAGTTTTTAGGGCGTTGAGCTCCAGGTGGTTTTCCCCACACCAGGTCACCAGATGGTCCATCACCCACCTGTAGGCAGACTCGTCCCCACCAGAGATGAGTCCGATGAGGGTGGTGTCGCCTGCGAACTTCAGGAGCTTGACAGACTGGTGACTGGAGGTGCAGCTGTTGGTATACAGGGAGAAGAGCAGAGGTAAAAGAACGCAGCCTTGAGGGGAACCGGTGCTGATGGTCCGGGGGTCAGAGACGTGTTTCCCCAGCCTCACGTGCTGCTTCCTGTCAGACAGGAAGTCTGTGATCCACCTGCAGGTGGAGTGGGGCACGTGCAGCTGGGAGAGCTTGTCCTGCAGCAGAGCCGGGATGATGGTGTTGAAGGCGGAGCTGAAGTCCACAAACAGGATCCTGGTGTAGGTTCCTGCTGTGTCCAGGTGCTGGAGGAGGTAGTGAAGGACCATGTTGACAGCGTCCTCCACAGACCTGTTGGCTCTGTAGGCGAACTGCAGGGGGTCCAGAAGTGGGTCTGTGATGGATTTCAGGTGAGACAGGACAAGGCGCTCAAAGGACTTCATAACCGCAGAGGTCAGGGCGGCGGGTCTGTAGTCATTTAGTCCTGTGATCCTTGTTTTCTTGGGACCGGGATGATGGTGGAGGTTTTGAAGCATGCTGAGACGTGGCATGTCTCCAGTCAGGTTTTTTTTTTTTTTCAGATGAGATGTGCAGTGGCAGAAACTGTGGAAAACAGGTGTAATAAGTGTGGAGTAATGATTTAACCTTGGTGATCTTTTTGACTCCACCTTCAACCGATTGGATTTTTGTTTTGTTCAAAGCCTACTCTACTTGAGGCAGCAACGTTTTCTTTAAAATAACTAATATAAAGGATCAGCCACTGTGTCAGATAAGTCGAGGGAAGGCCAGGAAACCCACTAACCTTAACGCTATGCCACACCTTTCATTCAAATTCGATAACTACGACATTTAGGGTGCAATAACTTAACTGCTTATCCAACGGCAACATGGCGGATAGGATTGTGCACAGCGTGGCGGTGGTGTAGCTGAAGAAAGAGCAGGATACGTGTCACAGAGAGCACGGCTGGAATTACAAATCCCAGAAGACAAGAAGAAGAAAGAAACTGTGAATAAAGAGTTATGTTAATCCACATGTGTCAGGATATCGTCCATAGACTGTATATATAAGGTGCCGTGAAATCTGGTAATAACTAACAACGTCATTGACAAGTTTCTCTTGGCTAGCCCGAGTCAGCGCGGCGCTGGCCAGTGGTCCGAGTCATTGAGTTGGCTAGCTTCTTAGCTAACATTAGCCCCCATACGACGCGTAGCCCGGTCTCCAGTCTTCTCTGCCGACCATGACTCCTCAGCAGAAGGTTGTCCGCCGCCAGCCGCAGCCCTCCACCATGTCCCAGAAAGTGCAGTTCACTCTCAAGCTCTTCATGCTGGAAACTGCCCGAAGTAAACTCGAACAAGAACTTTCCAACTTCATCAAAAAGGTAATGTTAACACACCAGTTCATTGAAAATGTTCAATTAATGTTGCTAACTTAGCTAGCTCACAGGCCACATGGACAACACACTGCTGACTAGTCGAGAATGGGTGCATGCTAATTAGGCACACTTAGCTATAATAATTAGCATTATTTGGCAGGAACTGCTGAATTGTATACAAACGAAGCACAGTTTAAATATGTGTCAAATCGTCACCAGAGCTACAACTTCTGCACATTATTAATATCGGTTAACACCTTTCACCACTATCTTGATTGATAAATCGGAGTCATCAATGTTTCTCAGAGCCTAATGGGTCTTGTAAATTATTACATTCTCAATTAATGTATGTTACCTAAATTGATGAAGTAATAAGCACAACAGTACGTGTTTCTTGTATATTTGATCAACAAAAACAAATGTTCCTGCTTGAATTAAAGCTGCATTGAATAATCCAGACCCGCCTTAAACCTTGAAGTTAAAGCAGTGTTTTGTGTTCCAACTGTCTTCTGTGCCATGTAAAATACTTCATTGATCTCAATTAAAATTACCTGTTTAAGAAAGGCTAAGACAAAATAATTAGTTCACTTGTTTCATTTTGTTTCATTTTTCCTCTAGGCCTATGAAGAAGTTCAAGGTTTCCTGAATACATCTTTCCCCACAAGTGTCTTCAGTGATCTCACAAAGGCTTTAGATACAAAATATGAAGTCATTGACAAGCTTTCAGCTTCATTAAAATCTCTCACAGTTGGTAAGTAAAGAAATAATCATATAATTTAAGATGCTTATGTGACATTACATATTTTCACGTGTACAACTTTAGGATTTAGGAAAAATTCTCACTTTCTCCTTTTCTTATCTTTACAGAGCCACAAGTGTGTGACCAGCTTATCTCCAAGCCTGCAGCAGTCCAACAGGATGACATCAAACACGGCATCAACAGAGCGACTACGACCTCATCGTCTCACTTAGAGGCTGAAGAAAAAGAACATGCTGTTGTTTTAGATGAGAAACGCCCAACAGATGCTGTGAGTCTTCCACCTGCGTCCCAGAGACCCGAGATCAACCCAGAGAGGCCACCAATACTACTGCCTCCCCTACAAGCTTCATTCCCAGGGATCAGTAACACTAATCCAATGAAAATAACTCCGCTAATGAGCTGGGGATGTAAAGATGATTTCCAGGTGAAACACCAAAAACAAACATCATCTCAGCTGCTTCACTTCCTCAGAGAAAAAGCAAAAAAGATTGGAGTACTGGAGATCACTGTCATGGAGTGGAGTAAAAGTACCGTGAGTTCGCCAGAGCGGCCTGCCATCAAAACACAAAGCTACCAATTCAGACAAGCTGTGACGGATGATCTGACCAACCCACTAGAGCCGAAAACGTTATTTGCAGACATGGAAAACCAAGCCCCAGTCTTCAGAGTGAAAAGAGTGGAAACAAGTGGCTCTCTGACCTACACTTGTGTGATTGCAACAAAGACTGAATTATGGGATATTGGAGACATCTTCACCGAGGTGGGACGGGGAGACTTGAAAGCCATCCCCTTCGAAAATAAAGACTGCACAAATATTACACCTCAGGTGGAGCACAACTGCCTAAACGCCCAGAGGGAAAACCAAAGTCTTCAGAGCACTGATCCCAAACATGTAAGCCATTTTGATGGTGTAAAAACTCCAGCAATGAAGTGCATCACCATTCCTGAGTTCCAGACCTGCAGGTTTGAAGAGATGGAGGTAGTGGTGTCTCACATTGTCAGCCCGGGCAACTTCTACGTACAACACGCAGACTCCATCATAAAGTGGCAAACCCTTGTCCCAGAGTGAGTCGTTCCGAATGAATTATAATCTCTTGTCTGCTTTTTTTAAGCCTCACTGATTCCCTAATCACATTACCAGAACTTATATAGCCACTTATCCTTTAATTCATTTTTGCTTTCTTTGTAGATTTTTTTTTTCCTTCCATTTTTAATAATCCACATGTGTCTGGTTTCCATTTACAGCAGCTGGAAAGCCAGTAGATCATATGCCGCGCAGAACTGCATTCCAGACATTGGAACCCAAGTAATAGGTTGGTTCCCTAAGCAAGAACAATGGTGCAGGAGTCGGGTGACGAAGATATGTGGAGTAAGTGAAGGTGGGTCCAGTTTTGTGTATTGGAACATTCATAGATGTTTGCCAAAGCATACCTCTAGATGGTAGCAGTGTCTCTTTTTTATTTTACTTGCCATAATTTCTGCCTTTTGGTTTTCCTTTATTTATTCCACTGATGGTGGAGGGAGAGAGACATCCATCAAGGTGGAGGTGAAGAGGCTGGACCAGGGTGATACAGCCTGCTTGTCGCTGTCGGACATCAAGGAGCTGACCCCGGAAATGGCCGTCCTACCACTCCAGGCTGTACAGGTCTCACTAGCAAATGTAAGTGCTTCCCTGTTTTGTATGGTTAGGCCTCGTCATTTTTTCACATGTATCTAGAGAACCTGACGAACACGCTAAGATATTCTGCAGCAGGCGTGCAGATCATCCCTCCTAGGATTTGCATTCACGGAAAAGGCAAATATATTGTGTTCCTCTGTGAGAAAGTACGCTTGGTTACAGTTTTGGCGTTTGTCCACATGATTAGTCACAGCCTTATCTATTGGGATGTGATAAAGGAAATGAATTATCTCAGTTCATGGGGTTTTTTGTTTGTTTCCTCCCCCCTAGGTGACGCCTGTGAATGGGAGTGATTGGTCTGAGGAGGCGGTGGGCTGGTTCAGGGATATGGTGGACAACAGGACGCTTTATGCCAGGCTTTACCCACAGGGACCCAAAGTTACAGTCGAGTTGTTCTTGGAAAAAGGAAAGCTCAGAGCTATGAGGTACTCCAGTATGAAACAGTCAGTTGATTTTGAATTGTACATTTAAAAAAGCTGATAAAGTCAAGTTTTAATGACTTATTTACAAGTCTTTTCATTTGTTTAAATTGTATTGCTATCATTGTACAAATTGTGGGTTTTGTTGATAAGTATTACAGTGAGTGAATATATGTTGACTTTATTAAGGTTACAGTGTACAATTTCAAGCTTGCTAACGGCACAATATCCTAACAGTACAATGGTATTATTATTATTTCAGGAGGGGTGCATCACTGTCTTTGAGACTGGCCCAGAACGGACATGCCATCCATAGCAAACTGAAAAGTGTCTGTCTCATGAAAAGAAGTGAGTATAGCTCCAGTTTGGAAGTTGTTTGCCCAAAATTGTGCATCAACAGCAGGTGGCAGTATTGCCTCTGTATGAACAGAGCAGTGCTGATTTTTTTACAAATCTTGTGTTTTGTTTTTTAGGCAAATATCAAGATAAAGTGAAGAAACAGGACTCTGAGTGGAAGAAATACGTAATCTCACGCTAAACTCGTAATAGTAAGCCTTGATACAGAAAGCAGTCAACAAATGTCAAATACAAATGGCAGACAGGCCATGAAGCACTCAAAGCTAAACACCGAGACATTTAGTAAATCATCAGGGTCGTTTGAACACACGGAGGACTTTCAGGTTATACATTGACAAACTGCTTTGCCAGTACAAGGATATTTCATTAAACAAATAAAGTAAATATATATTTTGATTTAAAACCAGCATGTGTTTACATTAAGTAGAATGTATCAGCTTTTGTATATTTTTATGTTGTATCTGGAATTGAAACATTTTCAATATTTTGATTACCTATTTGACATATTAATCAGTTGTTGAGAGCAAAGTCACATACATTTAGAGAGCAAAGGAGGAGAATCACAGAGAAATGGTTTCAAACAGAACCCATGATCGGCCTCACAAATCTTGATTGCAGCCCCCTAAGTCAAAGGTACGTCTAGTGAAAGTTAATGTTACTTATAACAAATGTTTGTTTTTTTTAACACACATTTCGCACAAAATATAACATCTTTGAAGCACTGATCAAAATAATTAAAACATATTTATTAAATCAGGTTGTGCTTGTAAACTGTATGGGGACATGGATACCTAAATGTGGTGCTCTTTGTTTTAGTAGAACAATCCCCCCATGTACTTTAAAAGCAGCCTATCTCAAGTCCTTATCCCAGTCACTACACGTGCCAGTTCAGTTTGTTAACCTGTTTTGCATTAAGTGATACTTGATTTGTCTCTGTGCCACATGCAGAAGGTTTTGTTATTTAATGCCTAATTCCTTTTGTAATAGCTGTTGTTAAAGCCATGTTACCCTGGTTAATATTGAGTTCTTGTATAATGGCACATTTACTATTTTGAATTTCCAGTGTATATAGTTCTGCTTTCATAATAAAACTACAAATCTACTAGTTTGGTCTGTCTTTGTGTTGTAGAGTACTGTAGCTTCTATGAAGGAATAATAATTAGGTTAGTTCATTCAAAGAATTAGCTGCCCCCCCCCCCCTAAGCCTCCCACTCCATATGTCAGACGTGACGCAGAAATGCTCGTTGCACAGTGAATCGCTGTAGGTCATCTGATGGTACATGACAAATGGCCACATTGTGTTTTCACTTGCTACTGTAAATAATCTTTCCTACTGTTATAGGGGGGTGTTCGACAGGAACGAAATGTACAATCTCAGCTCATAATAATCAAAGTTTGAGCTGCAGTTCTGTAGCTCATTGGTTGGGACATTAGTGTTTTATAGCATATACAGTCAATGCAATAAACAACTATAATCAAAACTACTGGATATTTGTCCTAGTGTCTGTAGAGTGTGATTCTATTTGTTCCCACGAAGGGTTATCAAAACAAATCGATAGAATAAAATGTTATTTAAAATTAGTTATGGCCAAGATAATTAGTTCCCAGGCAAAATTTCAGTAAGAAAAGCACATGGCACAACAATTTAATTTAATAACAATTAACATATTTACAGTATTACAACATGTACAAATCAAAGAAAATTGACCTGTATGGTACAATAACAAAAAACATACAAATAAATGCATAAAACACTAAAGGAGAATAAAAGCAATATTCAATATTGGAAGCCATTGAATAGATATCTTTATTTGGGACATGGCTATTTTTGCAAAAACCACTGAACAAGTTGTAAGACAGGTTTTTATCAAATGGTGTGTATGAATGAGATTCACTTTAAGACTGGCTTTTTAATCTTCTCCTACATGTTTTGCGTTAGTTATACAGCTAATGTTCTGTCTGAATCTGCAAACCTCATGCAGGTCAAAATCTTCCTACCCTGACCAGCACAATAAATTGTTTTTCTGGCAGAGGCCTTTTGTGTCCACACAGATTCCTCCTTTTGCCCGGGGTAGGCGGAAGTCAAGGCGTTTGATCTGAATTCTAAAGAGTCTTGTTGCAGCACAATAAAGGCTGCCATTGTATGTAAATAGTTTATATAAGAGCATATGACTGCTACGGTGCAGGGCACTGGCTAGTGGCGGAGGGAGGAATGATTAGCATTTTCCAAACGCAGGGTGTTCTCAACCCAGCCTTTCGGCTTGCTAAAAAACACAATATTTTAATTCATTTCTTCTTTGTACACATTTTTGTGTACCAACACAACTGAAGGTAAAATGTTGATCATTTGTTTCTATTTTATACTAACATTCAGTGTTCAATGAGGTCTGATTTTATGTGAGTGAGGGCTTACACGCCCCATTGCCTCGACTTGACAAATACTTGCCGTGATTGTTAAACCATCATTACTATTTGAAGTGATTTTATTTGAATTAATCAGCTTCTAATGTTCGCACTAGGTAAATCTGGTATCGTCTGTAGCCTTTGTCACAAACAAAAGAGATCTCTCTTGTCTTGTCTTTTTTTTTTTAAATCTCATGAGTTGGTTGTCTTGCTTGTTCCTTGGAGGAATTTGCTGGCAGGATGTCAGTCTGTCTGCTTCTGGGCTGTGGGTCAGTTTGGGAGTACAGTATTAATACAGCGTGAGCAAATCACGTGGCTCGCCGAATCTTTCGCAATTGGCTTCGCCCTGTTGCGTATGGTGACGGCGCACAGCAGCAGGCCCCTGCTTTTATACGGCCAACTTGCTACTTGGCAATTATTTTCTGTTGTTCCTCACTCTGCCAGCTTGATGCTCAGGCCAAACCTCAAGATGGTCATCTTTGGACCCGGCGCTGCTTACGCTGCTTGCACCGCTGGCTGAGCCTGGTAAACCTCTAAAACTACTGTAACATCAGTTAGACTTTTACTAAATTACTAAGTTGTGGCCGATAATAACTAAGTCGTCTAAAGTGATAAAGCCATGTCTATGTAAGTCCCTTTTGTTCAATTTCAAGGACTAATTCCTGCATGTTTCTTTAAACATTAATATGGTTATAAGATTTCACTTTAAGCCAGAGATGTGACTTGGCTTACATTCATACAACCTTTCTTTTCCCGCAGACCTGGAGTCGAAAATGAACTGGGGAGCCTTTTATGCCGTGATCAGCGGCGTAAACAGGCACTCTACCGGGATCGGACGCGTTTGGCTCTCCGTCATCTTCATCTTCCGTATCTTGGTCCTGGTGGTGGCTGCGGAGAGCGTTTGGGGGGATGAGAAGTCCGGCTTCATATGCAACACCCAGCAGCCCGGCTGCAACAGCGTCTGCTACGACCAGTTCTTCCCCATCTCGCACATCCGCCTGTGGGCGCTCCAGCTCATCCTGGTCTCCACCCCCGCCCTGCTGGTGGCCATGCATGTGGCCCACCGACGCCACATCGACAAGAAGATCCTGAGGAAGTCGGGCCGCAGCAGCCCCAAGGAGCTGGAACGTATCAAGACCCAGAAGTTTCAGATCAGTGGAGCTCTGTGGTGGACATACATCCTCAGCATCATCTTCAGAATCCTGTTCGAGTTGGCTTTTCTCTACATTTTCTACTTGATCTATCCTGGCTTTAGGATGGTGCGTTTGGTGAAGTGTGACTCGTACCCATGCCCCAACACGGTGGACTGTTTTGTCTCCAGACCAACAGAAAAGACCATCTTCACTGTGTTCATGCTGGCAGTGTCTGGGCTGTGTGTGCTGCTCAACCTGGCCGAGATTCTGTACCTCATCGGCAGGGCCTGTCAGCGGTGCATACGAGGCCCCGAGGAGGGGGCAAAAGGAGCTTGGATAAGTCAAAGATTCTCTACTTATAAGCAAAATGAAATCAATCAGCTGATCGCAGACCATTCTCTCAAATCTAAGTTATCTGTGACCAAAAAGAGCCCAATTGAGAAAGATGAGAGGTGTTCTGCTTTCTGAGACTCTGCCTCTCCTGATACTTTTAACCTAATCTACAGTAACCACATTCATGGAGCATGTTGCTCTGCATTACTGGCACAACATCTGTATATTTTGGTCAGTGTACATACAGTATACATGATTATTCCATTGTTCATTTATTCATCTGTTTTTTTCTTTCTTACTGACAAGTATAGTTGCTGTTGAAACGTGTCTAAACTATTTGGAGCCGGTGGTGAAAGTAAAAGAGGTGTGTTTTGTTTCGGGTGTAGTGTACTGTCAACAATTTGCCATAGCTTATTTTGGTGTTTTTCGTTGGTATGCAGTATGAGAAGCAACCTGCCAAAGTGCAAAGTATCTTCAGCCAATGAAAAACATGTCTGAGCATCAAAACGTATTCAGTTTACGACGAAGTTGCTTGGTAATTCTATTTCAAATATGGATTTGTTTGAAAAGCGTGCAGGTTTGGTAAGTTGGCACACTGTTTAAAAACCACCAATTCCTGCCATACAGTTATAGATATATGATGTATTAAAATCATCAAACATTGATTTAGAAATATGTTACAGGCAAAGTGTCCCTTTTGAAAGGTTTGTGTTGGGAAAAGAGCTAATGGATCTCAGTTTCTCACCGGCACCTGAATGCAGGCCCAAAACATTAAAACAACACAATTTGGATTAATCCTAGTATTACAACTAAAGAAATCCATAATTTTAGATAACCCGCCATACTGTGCAAAAACAACGCTGGGGTCCGTACTCCGTAGGTGCAAAGATTACAGTAAACATTAATATGCTGGATCAAAAACATTTTTTTAATTTATATCAAACATGTTAATATGTACCATATTCAATTGTAGCCTGAATAAAAGCTGATAGAGTAAATTCCATTAAAGGTCTGTAGTAGCCCTTATAACAGTTGGTTTAAAATAATGTCTATAATTGAACAACTTTTATTAAATATTTTAGTTCAACAAGTGCATACAAAATAATAAAATAAACATTTGGAATTACATTTCCACAAACATCTCTGCTACTGACCCAATATTCATGTATGTATCATTAAGAATGGTGCACAGAGCACAACCGTTTCAATAAACCTTGAAGAATCATAGTACTGTAAATATGTTTTTGTGCATGTATTTAAAGGTGGGGTAGGTAAGTTTGAAAAACCGGCTCGAGATACACTTTTTGTTATATTCCATGGAATGCTCTTAACATCCCGATAGCAATGAATATTACATTACATTACAATATCTTAAGTGCTTTGACAAAAAATCCATAAAAAAATGTCATCCGTGGAAGCCGTAGCGCTGTAAAAAGCACGACCTATCATTTTAGCCGGCCCGGCTAAAATAACTGGATGGCCTACCTGCCTGTCAGCCTTCCATCTGTGCACAAACTTATCTCGTGCCCTCATTGGTCATGTGCGCGTTCGTGTGTGTTGGAGGAGGGGCTCTGTAAGGAAGTGGCAGATTTGTTCCGGCTGTGTATTTTCAAATTCCAGCGCACTCGAGCTGGTTTCTCCAAAATTACCTACCCCACCTTTAATTGTAAATACTGCTGCATACTTACCTTGTAGCTTCTGAGTAGTTGTTTTTGTTTGAGGTTTGCCTACTAACAGACAGTTGCAATTGTTTTCCCTAATATCCCTCTTATTATATTATAAATATACACTGGTATCTGTACGTACAACTGTTTCATTGTTATACACATTGTATCGCATACAAAAATTCAGATTCAATAGTTATGCTTAAATGTAAATATGAATTTACTCCCAGTTATGCAATCCGGTTAATAGGTTATGTGGGTTGAAACTATACTTGTACATTGTGTAATATAATGTAATAAACTGCCTGATAATTTATCATTATTTTAATTTATTTATACAACATTTTAGTTTTTTTCAAAAAGTTGTACCAAATTGTTAAAGAGTGACATCTGTCAAAAGAAGAACAGAAGGTTCATTTAGCATTATATGAACTGTGTTCTCCCTTTGTATACTGGGCCAACTCTCAATACTGAAATGTAGAAACAGAACTTTTCCCTCTCTGTCACTGTGATTGTAACTTGAGGATGCAAATGGCTACTCATCTCCAAATCATGCCCCCCATGATAGGAGAGACCCTCGTGCTATATTTAGATCCACTTGTGGCCAGACAGACTTAGCAGACACCTTCATTGGCCAGCTGCCCTGTCACTCACTCTAACAAGCGAGTAGAGGGGCTTTATTAGTTTACATTAGAGAGTGTACCCTGTGCCAAATTTAACCGCGGAGGGGAGGGGTGTTGGAGGCTGGGCAGCCGGACATGGTTGAGAGAGGGTCCAGCAGGTTACGTGTGTGTTGTGGTCAGTGGAAGACCCCAAGGCCTGGGTCCTGATTCTTGCCTTAGTTGTATTTGAGGCGAGAAGACTGAGTCGGTGGGTCTGTCGGCGTGGAACGGAGGTTGTGTCCAGCAGAAGTCCACTTTTCCGGTCCATTCAAGGGCATTGCTGGGGGCCCGAAGATCAGCTCTGCACTGAGGCCTGTCAGCGAAGCAGGCGGCCTCATGGACCCTCGAAGACGTGTAGGGCTTCACCGCAGGGGATGCATAAGCTGACAAGGTGGGTTTATCCAGTAAATCTGAATTCTCTGTGATTAGGTGTGGTACATTAAGGCACTGTTAGCGGTTAAAGTTTAGTATAAGGGTATAGAGGCTGTCATTGGTCATCAGGCTGTGTTGTAGGAACAATGCTCTGTTTTCTATTCATGTTCATGATCTTTTCTTCTTATAGGGGATTACATAGTCTTAAAGTCTAATATAGAAAGCAAATGTTGGTTTAAAATTACAACCCAGTCTACAGGTGTTGAAACACTAGCTAGATTTATTAGTGGTGGCTCCTAAATATCGTTTCACCTGCCACAGTTTTAGCAGTTATCAGAATTCATTGTCGCTCACAGTAGCAGACCGTGAATGTGCTGCTAATCCACTGCACAGTTCATATCAAATGTAGAATATATTTATAACAATGTGTTACAGGAGCTGACAGGAGCTGACAGGACCGACATTACTCAACTGTTTCTAATTCTCAATCTAACCACATCCGCCCGGTGTTTTATTTCACATATAACTCATGTAGTTGTGGCTTCAGCCACTGAGGCTGGGAGACTCAGAATCATGACTGGAAGCTGCCCCCCCCCCCCTGTCCACACTTGCCAAATATATACCCTCCTAAAGTAAATATAATCCTGTCTGCGTCCACGTGAAATATGCCACTACCTGCCCCCCCTGTTGTACACTTGGTTAGCAGCTTTGCTCTCGTCTTAGTAAGACGTTAAAGAGAATATTTAGATATCAGAAACCCTGTAGCCCACTTCAACCATTAGATTAATAATATTAAATAAGTCACAAATGACATTAAAGAATAATTTTTGACTGTTTTCATATCTCCAGTCCCAGATCTGAGATCACACAGCCATGGGGGACTGGAACCTGCTGGGAAAGCTTCTCGAAAAAGCCCAGGAGCATTCCACTGTGGTGGGGAAGGTGTGGCTCACCGTCCTGTTCATCTTCCGCATCCTGATCCTGAGCGCGGCCACAGAGAAGGTGTGGGGCGACGAGCAGTCGGGCTTCATCTGCGACACCAAGCAGCCTGGTTGCGAGAACGTGTGCTATGACATCACTTTCCCAATCTCACACGTCCGCTTTTGGGTGCTGCAGATCATCTTTGTGTCCACGCCTACGTTGATCTACCTGGGGCACATCCTCCACCTGGTGCGGATGGAGGAAAAGCAGACAGAGAAGGACAGGCAACATGCCTTACATTCAGACAAGCAGGCCTTCATAGTGGAGGGTAAGCCCAAGAAGCCCCTGGTGAGGGACGAGAGGGGCCACGTGCGCCTGCAGGGAGAGCTCCTGAGGACATATGTCTTTAATGTGATCTTTAAAACCCTGTTTGAGGTGGGCTTCATTGTGGCTCAATACCTCTTGTACGGCTTTAAGCTGAAGCCCATGTACAAATGTGACAGATCGCCCTGCCCCAATGTGGTAAACTGCTACATATCCCGGCCTACAGAGAAAACCATCTTCATCATCTTCATGCTGGGAGTGGCCAGCGTGTCTCTGCTGCTCAACCTCATAGAGATCTACCACCTGGGCTTCACCAAGTGTCGCCAGGGCGTCGCCTTCAGGAGGCGCTATCAATCGTTTAAGGGTGTCCACAAGGAACCCAGCGAGGCGGCGGTGGCGTACGCGCCGAGTTACGACGACTACTTTCACCAAGTGCAGCCGCCCTACCCCCCCCGTTCCCAGCTACAACCTCTCCCCTCTGTCCGAGGGCACAGACTCGTCCTTACACCCCTACCACAGCAAGGCGGCATACAAACAGAATAAGGACAACTTAGCGGTGGAAAGGAGCAGCAACAACCCAGAGGAATGTGACCTGAAAGCAAAGAAGGGAGCAGGATCGGCCCCCGGGTCACCTACGCAGGCCAGGCCCGGCCGCAGTGCCAAACACAGCAACAACAAGACTAGAATAGACGATCTGCAGATATGAGGAGGTTTATGTTTCTCTGGGGTGTCTTAAGTTGCTGCGAGGGGATCGTATGTTGTTTGAAAGCATTCACTCATGCTCAACTGACCCCCTTTTAAGATGGCGGATTGACTCATTCCAACTGAGAAAGGAGTGACACTGTAGGGTGCACCGAGCTGTTCAGTAATGTACAAAGACTGATGCTGGTCACATTTCTGATGAACTTCTTCTGTTCCACTGAGAAGTGTCCCATAGCTGGCTTTTGTTTGTATCCCTCCACGGTTCACTTTTGTCCCTGAGAACCTAAAATCAACAACAAATATAGTCGGCTCAGGTTTTATGTGAATTAATCCAAAAAACGCACCTGTGTGTACAAAGCTGCCAAAACGTTGGGAACAGAATCCAGGGTAGAGGTTTGTTCATGTCTGGCCTGACCTCATTTGAGGAAATCAGATAGGGTGAATAGTAACATTTAACTTCCTTTAACAGTTTTGAGGTCACCAGTGTAGTTCACTTGCTTAGGCTTGAAATGAAAAGTCGTGCGAACACATTGAACATTGGAAATACTCGAGCCCAATTCCAGGACGCGCCTCAAAAGAAATTGCACTGGTCTCAGGAGTTCCCACATTTGGGCCGCCTCCTTTATTGTGACAGCCAGCAAGCACATAATTACAAGCACATTGTTTTGTTGATCCTTGTTTATATCTCTGTTTGTGCCCTTTGTTTTTCCGTGAGGCACTTGGTGACAACCATATTTGTAAAACTGCTTGAAATAAATCTGTCTTAAATTTGCAAAGTTAGCAGAGGATTTATAATCTCAAGTCTTCCTCAGCAAAAAAAGGAGAATCACTTCAGTGGAACACATGTTGCAAGTGTTATTTCATACTCCTGGAAAAAATACAATCAACTCAGGAGTTGAAAGAATAATATTGGTCATATGTATAGTCTCTATGAACGGTAGCTCAGATAACTGTACTGTACATATATTAACTCTGAGTCTTTTATTTTTGAATCTCTTAAATGAGCATCTACAGTACCAGGTGTAGTTTGAGTCATCAGTATCCACCCAGAAACATTTGTTGAGCAGGAACAAACATGTCATGAGTAAAGCCTTTGCGGTCTGAATATCCCACACATGCACAACATGGTGTACTGGGAAAGAGGAGCCCCCCCCCCCCCCCCCCCCCATGGAAACCTTCAAATGAATGACATAGCATGTCTCATACCTTCGGACTCCATCATTTTCTGTCTATGATTTATGTGTCAAGGGGAATAACAAATACAATTGTTTCTTTATTTGCATTAAAAACGGACTTCTGAAAAAACAACTCTTTTAGTTGAAGTGTATTAATGTATTGAGATACGATTGAGTATAGTCATACTATTCTATACTTTAGGTTGCTGTGGTGCCAGAAACAATGTCTCTTATCTCCCAGACAAAACAGCAGGATTGTTATGTGTAATGTATGGCTCCATAAATCATAAAGTCATCCAGAAAGTCTCTGATTCTAAAAAACATAATCTTTCACAGATGGAAATAAAACACCAAGATGTTATAATGTGATTCATATCTTAGAAAAAGGGCTATATATGTTAATAAAATGATAAATGAAGATCAATAGATATGAGTTATGAGCGTTGACGGATTTCCAGCACTTTGAAATGAAATCCTTTTAGTGTAAGGCCAACATCTTATATTGCAGTTGCATCAGAGGATTGCAAGTAAAGGTTTTCGGTTTGTATGAATCACGTAATAAAGTCTGTGATTTCTTAACTTTAGATGACATTGAGTAATTATGTATATTTTGTAGCTCTACAAATGAAATGAATAACAGCATCACCATCTCAGACACAATACATTAGTCAATAATTGTGTTTGTCTGAGGTACAAAAATGACTGGTCGGGAGACGGGCTGCACATCATGATGTCTTTTGTAAAAAGCAAGGCCCTTGTTAGTGGTTTCAGTATTTTCTTAGAATCCATACCTGACTTCAGGAAAACTGCAACAATGTCCCTATAATATATAATGCAACACTTGACATAATAATGTAGACTAACTCTTTCAAACTGGCAAAATGTATTGTACTATTCATAGACAAATGTTTAACCTTATTTAAATCCAAATATAATAATGAACACATGTTATTTTACAGCACAACCTAAATGCAAAATAGAATTAGCCATTGACAAAATTATGGGAGAAATACTTAATCATTTTAACAGCTTTAAGTAACACATTCTGTAAAGGTGGAGAGAAACGTGAAGGTGGGGCTGTGGGAGGACATTTAGATTACTCACTACAACAAAACCAACACCCTCCCCCAACATGTTTTGTTCATTCCCTAAAAAGTGAAATTGCCTCAAGGGTCTTAACGTAACTTAGTTATTGAGAAGTAAAAACCATTTAATGGAGATTTGGTTTTATTTCTAGCCTAACTCTGTTCAAAAAACTAAATGTACAGTACATAACAGAAGCCATGCACCTAAACAATCAAAACACAATGGAATGTAAAGGTTAGCAATGTATTTCTAATAAATGGGCTTAACAAAAAATGCTGTAGTATATTGTAAACTAATCTAGAGAGTCAATAGCGATTATACACTTTACATGTATTACTTAATTTACAGTAAAATATTATTGTATCAATAAGAAAAACTGTTGTTCCTTCAGTGCTGTAGCCATTTTAATGGGAAATATAGTAACAGCACAGAAAAGCGCTCCCTTAGTTGTGTGTAATGGTGGATATCATTTGATGAGTAAGTCTATCACTTTATTCTGTTTTGTTGCCTGTGCTTCATAATATTTATCAGAAGCTATAGCACAGTCCTCTACTGCCCTCTCCTTTTGCTTTTACTTTTACACTGACATGCTGCTCCACTGAGGGCACGCCATCTGCTGGGCAAAGGAAATCAAGATACAGATGCATACTGATAAATAACTTCAGGATATATTAAATATCTGTGTTTTCAATTAGGACATATATATATAAACAAAGAGTCTGTACTGAATGTGGATTTCATTGTAGGCCACAAAGAACACAGTCATTGTTGTTGTTTACTTAATCCCTGTTTAAAGTAATTGTTCAGCACACTCCGGCCTGTTTCTCATCACACTCAGCCTGCTAATGTGTGATAAATGACAGCGCCAAAAGCAAAGCCTGCCCTTGCACCAGCTTTATGTTGCTGCTAGGGTAAGCTTTAGAAATATCAGCCAAAAGGAAAAACGAGGCTTCTGATGTTTGCTGACTGACTCAATCTGATTGCTTGCAGGCCTGTCACCTCATCACCAACACCAGCCTTGTTAGAGTCAATGCAGCCCCAGTTTCTGCAGGATAGAGCCACACTAGTGCTGTGGAAGAGAGTCCCACATGGCACAGAGGGGACTGAACAGAAATCAGCTGCTGACACGGTTTCTGAAGCAGAAAACGCCATCATGACTCAGCGTCTGTCACGTCTTGTCTTGGCCTCTGTGTTGGGTGGTCCATGGGGACGGGCTGGGGGTTTGTTGCTCCATGTGACAGCTGAAGCTCGGCCAGAGTCAATGAAGTAGGCCTTTTTTTATTTAATGTTCTTTATTGCAAGATTAATGACAACATTGGCAGAACAACACGAGGAAGGCAAAAGCAGTTGTGTGTGTGTGTGTGTGTGTGTGTGTGTGTGTGTGTGTGTGTGTGTGTGTGTGTGTGTGTGTGTGTGTGTGTGTGTGTGTGTGTGTGTGTGTGTGTGTGTGTGTGTGTGTGTGTGTGTGTGTGTGTGTGTGTGTGTGTGTGTGTGTGTGTGTGTGTGTGTGTGTGTGTGTGTGTGTGTGTGTGTGTGTGTGTGTGTGTGTGTGTGTGTGTGTGTGTGTGTGTTAAATGTACACATAATACATAATGCAGCTATTCTCACACATGGGCTGTTGGGGAGGGGGGGGGGGGTTACTGCCAAATGAATACTTTCCATGCACTTAGTCAGTATGGTGTAAAAATGCCTAGGGATTATATTTAGTGACGAAGAAGTTTTTAGAGAAGGACAGAAATACTTGAAAACTTAGAAGAAAGCTCATGAACTTTTGTTTCAGCAGACTTGAGTAATGTGTGTGTGCATGGCAACAATCTGGAAGTAGTTTGAGAAAGTGATTACAAAAATGTCACTGTGATTGCTGCTTTGAAAGAGGATGAATTAGGTAATCAATGTCAATATTTGTTGCCGTTATTTTGTTTTTGCATTTTAACTATGTTGCTTTAGTGACAGCTGAATTTGCTTCTGGGATAAACACAATAACAAACCTATTTCACAAAGAGAACCGCACAAAGACCATGTGCTTGAATACAAATCATGTTTGTTTTCAATGGAAGCTCTAACATACATGCATCGCTTTGCACACATTTGACTCTGGCTTGCACAATAGTAGAGTAGTCATGGCTTCTTGCGTGACACAGCTTGTTTACCAGCTCATTGACTCATTCATAAATCATATTCCTCCCAAATTCTACTGATTTTATTAAGCCACTGCTATATTTCATACACTGCAGGCATTTCCAGTTAAGCACTTAAGTTTTGTATCAAAAACTAAAAAGAAAATGTAGCAGAAACTTGATGTGACTTGTCACTTAAATATGTGTACTGTATATACAGTACAGTATGTATATATCATAGACTGTATATATAAAGGTATATATATATATATATATATATATATATATCTTGTTTTAACAGTTACTATATGACTTCCTTTTACATTTTTGTATAATTGTTTTACCTTGTGTGAATCTGTACTGTCCTGTTTTTCAGTCTCACTTTGTTGTTACTTTCACTCCTGAATTTCCCAACCGGGATAAATAAGACATAGAAATACTTTATTGTCATTTCAACAAGACACAGAGTGTACTATTAAAACGAAATGTCGTTGTACTGGCTTACAGGAACAGGACATTATAAAAACTTGCAAAAATTGTACATATAAATAAGTGACGTGGTGCTGATAAAATTAAAGATAAAGTGTGCATTTAAAATATAAACTTACTATACATATAAATAAAATAGACATACTATATAAAACATATGTGCTCTTTACACAGCGTAATGTAATCTTTATGTTACTGGTCTACTTGATGTTCAGCAGTCTGATGGCTTGGGGGAAAAAGCTATTGCAGAATCTGGCTGTTTTGCTCTTAATGCTGCGGAAACTCTTGCCGGAGGGCAGCAGGGAGAACAGAGCAAGGTGAGGATGAGTGGGGTCTTTAAACATGTTCTGAGCTTTTGTCAGGCAGCGTTTCTGAGCGGTGTCTCTGATGGGAGGGAGAGACACTCCGATGATCTTCTCTGCTGTCCTAACCACTCTCTGCAGAGACTTCCAGTCTTTGGCGTTGCAGTCAAATAAAGGTCCACCTTATCTAATACTAGCGAATATCTTTAGTAACGAAAGGATATACGTATTTCATGCACATTGAAATTTCATTTCATCCACCAAAAAAATAAGGAACTCCTGTTGTAAAAATAGCACACAAAACGTTTTGAAATGATGAGAAACAACAAATAAGATTGATTTTTTTCTATAGTTTATTTGAGCCAGTCAACATTCTCATCTGCATCACATTTCACAAACACGCCCAAATCACGAAACATCTTCAATACAAAACATTTCTTTAAATATAATTTAATCTTGCAACTATTTTTTCTTATTCCAAGTTCAAAAATATCACTGAACTACAAACACAAAGAAAGAAACAACACAAACGAGAAACAGATGTGTGATTCATTTAAGGACAAAACGTCATGAACATATTGAACCGAAATACAGCATGAAACTTACACACATCATGGGCTTAAATTAAAGTCATTATTCAATGTATGCAGAAGAATGGACATTTGAGGACAGAAGATTATTCAGCAGCGCAAAGAATGGACGTAGAGCATTTTGGAACCAAATTCTTCATACATTCACATTAAAAGCACATATAGTGTGTTCGCATCACAACTGAAGATGTTTTTCTACAGGACCATATCTGACCTGTGCATGGACTTGTAGCACTTATCTTTTTAACAAAGCCTCTTAAAAAGTGGCCTTCCTCCGTCAACAAAAGTAACATTTCAAGAGAACATGAAGTCAAAAAGCGGACCTGCTGAAGCTGGTAAAAAACACACCCAGCACTCCACTCCCCCCGCCAGGGAGTAATATA